GGGAGCGCCGCTGCGCTTCTCAAGCGGCGCACTATCCAGTGCGCCACCGGGCCGGCCCTAGTTTCAGTAATTTTAAATTCTCACATTACCTATTTTGAGTTGATTTTGATATATATGTCGAGAATTAAAGGTCTAATTTCATTCTTCTACATATGGATGTCCAGTTTTCTCAGCACCATTTATTGAAGGGGCCGGCCGCTCACTGGCTGAGTGAGGAGCGGGGGCAACACCGAGGGTTGCGATCCCGTGGCCGGTCCCGGTCCGGTACGGGCGCGACACTGAGGGTTGCAATCCGTTGCCGGTCACGAAAAAAGACAAAAAGACAAAAAAAATAAAATAAAATAAAATAAATAAATAAAATAAAAATAAATAAAAAAAAATTTCACTCTTAGAAGTAATAATTTGATTTTGGGAATTTTAGAACTTATGATTCTGGTCAAAAGTAATACATTTAATTTCTAGTTCTATAATACCAATATTAATTTTTTAAACATTAAAAACAAACTAATTTAATAAGCTATTTTTGGAATGCAAGATCACAAACCTTCCAATAAAACTGTTACTACTGATATTATTCTACTGTATATAAAAGCAGTATGCTGTAGGCAAGCGTTTTAAGTTCCTTCAGAATTTCACAAAGTTAACTAAAAAGAGGTGCTCTGGTCAAAAAAGATTTAGAAATAGATTAAAAGTTAATCAGGTTTCTTTTAACTAGCAAGTGACTCACTTGGTACCTGTAAACCAGTAATTCTCAACCTCGGTCATATATTTAAATTCCTTGAGAAGTTTTAAAATGCAGATTATTTAGGCTGTACCCAATTAAGTCAAAATTTCTAATTTAAATGCCAATAACAGCATATTGAAGCAAGTGATTCCACTCATTTTGGGGCAAGCCATTAAGCTACCTTTGAAAACAGAGAAAAACATTCAAGTGTTAAAATTAAGCTACACTCTTCCATGTCTGGATTTTATAATCACCCCTCTGCAATAACTCTCTACTTTGGTACTAATGAGACTTCAGAGAGAAGTCTCACAAACACCACCACATACCTGGTTCTGACTCCTGCTTCTGTAAAGGTGGGAAGAACCTCAGATAAGTCATCTTGGTACTGTACTTCAGAGTCCTGGTCCGTCTCATCACATGGGCAAAGGAAAGCTTCAAGTGCTCTGTAACATTCTTTAGTTGAAAGTATTTGGTATTGAAGAAAAGAAGGGTGTTTAAGAGGACAATTGGTGAGTAAGCGCCCAGCTGTTTACACTCCCACAAATGCTCTTCTTCAATGCGAGAGAACATGTAACCTACACAGAAGAAGTGGGGAAAAGAAACACTACTGAGCTCTTGCTAAACAAACTAAGTAATCTTTCAAATTTTAGGACAGGAAGATATGAAGGGAAAAGACTGTTCTTCTCTTTCCCCCTCTTCCTTATGCAGAAAAGCAGAATAGGCACTGCAAAGAAAAGGGCAGATGATTCCACTCAAGTAGACACCGTGAGCATTCTCTTGAAATAGTTTTAAACTATAGGTATTTTAGATCAGGGATTGGCAAGCTTTCCTATAAAGGGACAAAGAATAAATGTTTTTGGCTTTGTGGGCCACACAGGCTCTGAACAACTTTGTTGTTGTAGAAAGTAAGGAGCCATAGACAACACATAAAACAAACAGGTGTGGCTATAAACCAGTAAAATTTATTTATAGACAAATGTGAATTTCATAAAATTTTCATGTCACAAAATATTAGTTCTTTAAAAAATTTTTTTTCCAAAAAAAAAAAAGGGGGGGGCCGGCCCGGTGGCGCACTGCTACAGTGCGCCGCTTGAGAGTGCGGTGGCGCTCCCGCCGAGGGTTCGGATCCCACATACAGACCGGTTCCCGCTCACTGGCTGAGCGAGGTGCGGGAGCAACACCGAGGACTGCGATCCCGTTGCCGGTCCCGGTCCGGTACGGGCGCGACACTGAGGGTTGCGATCCGTTGCCGGACACGAAAAAAGACAAAAAGGAAAAAAAAAATTTTTCCCAATCATTAAAAAATATAAAAACCATTTTTTAGCTCACGGACTACAAAAACAGGGAGCAGGCCAGATGTGGCCAACTTCTGTTGTAGATCATTAAGCTTCCTGTTAATTGGGGTTCAATCCTATTTAGTCAAGATCATCGGAAGGCAGATAGCTCCCTCCCTCCCACCCCAGTCCCCCTTATTTTTAATTTATATTAACAGTGATTATTTCCTGATGACTTATCAGCAATTTTTCTTGAAAAGCAGAGGTCCTGCAGAAGAATTAAAGTACATGTACCTTTCTTTAGTTGCACCTTGCCCCTTAAATGTAGACCTTTCTAATGTTGTCTCCTTGATCCTCTTTGTTGCTGCTTCTGCACTCTTTTCTTGGAAGATTATCCACAAACACGATCTTTTGACTTTCAAATCTATGTTCCCAGTCCCCTCTCTGAAAGCTAAATGCATCAAACCACCATATTGTTCAGAATACTACAAAGATGCTCTGCAGCCCAAGAGAAAGGGGCACGTATGATCCTGAGCCTAACATTCAACATCTCCATTCATAGCTGAGGAGCCTGAGACCAGGAGTGAATTATTGACCATATGTCGTAAGGCAAGTCCAAGACAATTCAAGGATGAGGACTTAACTCTCTTAACAACCAATTCAATGTACATATAAACTACTGAAAAAGGCCACTGTTAGCAGGTAGAATATGTAGCAGCTACTGGTACAGTGTGCAGCTTTACCAATACTATGAGATCAAAAAAGGTTTCTAAAAAGGTAAATGTAACCTCAAGTTATTTTTTACTTTCAGCAGTTAGTATCTATATATGCACTGTATGAAGGTTACAGTTTTACTAAAACAATCAACATAAACCAAAGACTTTCTTCATAAAAGTTCAAATATGTTATAAATCAGGACAGAAATACAAAATGAACAATTTATAAAAAGATGATCACAAAACTTAAGCAATTTAAGAAAGCATATCATGAAGATAGTCAAAATAAAAAATAATCATCCTACCATTAGGAAGTATTGTAGGTTCCCATATTTTCAAGAGTTTGGTAAGTTCGATCATAAATCTGGAATAGGGCTCAGTAAAAATGTTATCTATTCTACCATTTTCGAACAGGTACTACAAGAAAAAAAAAAGGGAAATACACATGTTGATACAAAGAAAAAAAGCTTTAACAAAGTGTTAGTGTAAGGAATATAGTTTACCCTTACCTTTTTGCCTTTACAATATTGTGGACCAAGTTAAACCTCTAAGTATTTTAAGGATATGTGTTAAAATACGAAGATTCAAGTTAAAGGTTCCTTTAACATTAAATGACATTATCTTCAGCACTGATCTTGCAAGGTAAAGTTTTTATTTTCTTTTAAAAACATGAATGGTACAGAATAATTATTATAAATAAGAACCCTTTACTCAGTTCATAAAGCTGATATACTAAAAATTGGTTCCAACGCTTATTTCCCAAGTCATTTTTTTTCTGATTCATAATGTATATTGGGAGATGTGCTCTCAGAAGTTTTAACTAGTGTCAGATGACCTGAGGAAACCCAAATTTTAAAACTATTTATTTGGAGTCTTTTAACCACATCTCTCAACTCTACCCGACAACCTACCCCTCCAAATGTTCAAGTCTATTTACAGGACATTAAACTATGTTAATTATAACTATCAACAATTATATCACAGGAGTTAAAAATGTAAGGAGGGCTCTTCTGGGGACAGTGTCTAGAAACACTAAGAATGGTCCAAAGTCTGACGTACCACTGTAGGCTTTCCTATATAATACAGCCTCTAACAAAACTAGGCTGTCCCGAACCCCTGATAATAGAATCATTTACCTTTACACCAAGAAGGTTGGGAAAGCACCAAAATCTGCACATGGCATGTACACAGGCAGAGACTTCAAGGGGTTCATGCTATGAGCCTAAAGTACTTATGAGGTGGTCTAAATAAAAAAATGTCAGCAGGGCCTATGCTGGCTCCATGTGTGCTAAATGTGTCCCTGAAAGGATCAGGCATGCTTTCCTTACTGAGCAGCAGAAAATCGTTGTGTAAGTGTTGAAGGCACAAACAGAGAGTCAGAAAACTAAATAAAAAAATTAGGCTTTTTTTTGGCGACTGGTTGGTACAGTTATCCAAACCCTTGCCTTTGGTATTATAACACTACACTCTAAGCAACTGATCTGACTGGATGGCCTAATGAAACTTTTTGAGCAATAAGAAAATCAAAAGACCCCCCCCCCCCCCACAAAAAAAAAGTAAAAAAAAAAAAAATCAACAGAAATACAGAAATACAATAAGCAATTATAGAACAATACAAGGCAGCATATAGGTACATGCTAAAGATCTTTCGGTGTTTTTAAGATTTGGCATTTTTCATTTATTTATCCACGGCTATCTTGGTTTCCTGCAATTTCTGCCTATGTATAATTTGGAGAAAATTATTCCTGTTTAAATTTATTCTGGCTAATAAAAATTATACACCATGTCAATGTACATTGTTATGAGGCCTCTTCAAAGGTAATTACAATCTTACTGCCAGATTACATTTTGTTGGTAAACAGTATTTTTCTTATTTTACTAAAGTCATATTTCCAACTTAGAAATATTATATCTTCATTATAAAAAATTTTAAAGTACAGAAAAAAATGGAAGAAAGAATATTCAAACCCACCACACAAAGCCAACTAATATTAATATGCAGGGATATTTTAACCTTTTCAAACAATTTTTTATAAATAAAGGGGTGAATTTTGTATGTTTATGCAAATATATAAAACACACGTTTTTCCTTTTTTTTTTTTTTTGTCTTTTTTCGTGACCGGCAACGGATCGCAACCCTCAGTGTTGCGCCCGCACCTCGCTCAGCCAGTGAGCGGCCGGTCTGTATGTGGGATCCGAACCCTCAGCGGGAGCGCCGCCGCGCTCCCAAGTGGCGCACTGTAGCAGTGCACCACTGGGCCAGCCCTAAAACACACGTTTTTAAAAAACTATCTTTTCAATCTCAGATCAAGTATGAGTCAAGAATGCCTATTCTTGCCATTCCTATTCAACCCTATACTAGAAGTCTGAGCCAGAGTAATCAGGCAAGAAAAAGATACATAAAGCATCCAAAAAGGAGAGAAAGAAGCAAAACTATCTCTACTGACAGATGGCAGAATCCTATATATAGTAAATCCTAAAGACTCCACAAAAAAATTAATTATTAGAGCTAATAAGTAAATACAGCAAAGTTGCAGGATACAGGCAACACACAAAAATCAGTTGTATTTCTGTAAACTAGCAACGATCTAAACAGGAAATTGGAGAAACAGTCCCATTTACAATAGCATCAAAAGAATAAAATATTTAACAAGTTTAACCAAAGAGGTACAACATTTACACATTTAAAATTACAATAAAAAACCGTTGAGGGGCCGGCCCGGTGGCGCACTGGATAATGCGCCGCTTGGGAAGCGCGGCGGCGCTCCTGCCCGAGGGTTCGGATCCCACATACAGACCGGTTCCCGCTCACTGGCTGAGCGAGGCGCGGGAGCAACACCAAGGGTTGCGATCCCGTTGCCGGTCCCTGGTCCGGTACGGGGGCAACACTGAGGGTTGCGATCCGTTGCCGGACACGGAAAAAGACAAAAGACAAAAAAAAAAAAAAAAAAACCGATGAACTAAAGAAGACCTAAATAAATGAAAAGACAGACATCCCATACTCATGACTCAAAAGACTTAATATTGTTAAGATAGCAATCTCCTCCAAAGCAATCTACACAATCAATGCAATCCTATCAAAATCCCAATGGCCTTTTTTTGCATATATGGAAAAGCCAATCCTAAAATTCAAAGGACTCTGAATAGCCAAAAAAAACGTGGGGAATCACACTTTCTAATTTCAAAACTTACTACAAAGCTACAGTAATCAAAACAGTGTGTACTGCCATAAGACCAACATATTAGAATTAAAGGTCCACAAAAACCAATACACCTTTGGTCAAATAATTTTCTACAAGAGTATCAAGACCGTTCAGTGTGTAAAGAACAAAATCTTCTACAAATGGTGCTGGGAGAACTGGATATCCACATACAAAAGAATAAAGGTAGACCTTATTTTAAATCAAAATAGATACCTGACCTAAATATAAGGGCTAAAACCATAAAACTCTCAGAAGAAATCTTAGAAGTAAATCTTCATGACCTTGAATTTGGCAATGGATTCCTAGATATGACATCAAAACAAAAAAAAAAAAAAAAAAAAGGAAAGGAAAAAAGAAAAAGCAAATAAACTTCATAAAAATTAAAAATTTTTATGATTCAAAATACACTATGAAGAGAGTGAAAAGAAAACCAGGCACACTGCCAGCACTTCGGGGCCCACCCGGGGACCTGAGGCATAGAGCTTGGGACCAGACACCCCTCCTACAACCAGGCACACCGCTAGTGCCAAGGAGCATGCCAAAAACATCACCTCCATGTGGGTGGCCCACCACAGCCACCACAATAACCACTGCTGCCACAAAAGTGGCTAGAAGCCACAACCACCAAGCAGATGGTCTGCCAGCCCCTGGAGTGCATTGACACAAGGAGAGTCACCAGCAGAGACCAAAGAAAAGAAGAAGACGTCTCTCTCCACAAAGCCCATTCCAGAGTGACAGAAGAAGCTTCTGCTCTATGATAATATTGGAGGACCTGAACAGACCTCTCAGCATTGGACAGATTATCTAGGCAACAAATCAACAGAGTAACCATTACTCTTTCAGAAGGAGAGAAGAAATCTAGGGTTATCAGACGGGGGAGGGAGAGGGGGATAGTGAGAGACTAGACAAGGGGCATAAAAAATAAGTACGATTTGTAACAATATATATGCTAGTAATATTGTGTGATCAACATATATCAATGTTGAACCTCAAAAATATGTATACTCAATTATGATTCAATAAAAAATTTTTTAAAATAGATGTTTTTATATGGATATGGAAAGATGTCAAACATCAGTAACTTTTAAACAGTACGTTAAGATCCCATTCTAATAAAGTGGTTGCATATGTATACATTATGTTTACCTCTGCACAGACAAAACAATATGTAAGGTATAGACCCCATTCTGAATTATAAGTGGTCTTGATGTCTGTGTTCTATTGTTCTATCACGTTTGGAATTGTAAAATAAATGTAGAACCTCTACTCTTAAAAAAAAGAAAAGAGGGCCAGCCCGGTGGCGCACTGCTACAGTGCGCTGCTTGGGAGTGTGGCGGCGCTCCCGCTGAGGGTTCGGATCTCACATACAGACTGGCCGCTCACTGGCTGAGTGAGGTGCGGGCGTAACACTGAGGGTTGCAATCCCGTTGCCGGTCCTGGTCCGGTACTGGTGCGACACTGAGGGTTGTGATCTGTTGCCGGTCACGAAAAAAGACAAAAAGGAAAAAAAAAAAAAAAAAAAAAAAAAGAAAAGAAAAAGAAAACCCAGAGAATGGGAAAAAAACATTTGCTAATTACATGTCTGATGAGTTTAATATACAGAATATACAAAAAATTCCTACAACTCAACAACAAAAAAGACAATCCAGTTAAAAAATGGGCAAAGGACTTAGAGATTTCTCCAAAGACATACCAATGGCCAACAAGTACATGAAACAATGCCCAATGTCATTAGCGATATGTAAATAAGAAACTCAGTGAGATAACACTTCATACCCACAAGGACAGTAATTTTTTAAAAAATGGAAACTAACAAATGCTAGAAAAAATGAAATATTGGAATCTTCATACACTGCTTCTGGGAATGTAAAATGGTGCAGCCACTGTGGAAACCAGTTTGGTGGTTCCTCAACAAGTTAACCACAATTACCATAAGATGCTGCAATTCCACTCCTAGTAATATATGCAAAAGAACTGAAAACAGGTGCTCAAACAAAAACTTGTACATGAATGTTCACAGCAGCACTATTTACAGCCACCAAAAAGTGGAAACGACTCAAATGTTCATCAATGGATGAATGAACAAACAAAATGTAGTATATCCATGTGATAGAATATTATTCAGGTATAAAAAGGAATGAAGTACCAATACATGCTACAACAGGGATAAACTTCAAAAGCATTACGCTAAGAAGCCAGATACAAAAGGCCACA